AACGGGGGGGGGGGGGGGGGGGGGGGGGGGGGTACCTACTACAAGTGTAGGCCAACCACTTGCTGTACAAGCACGAGGTGGTCGTAACCAAAAACAACCGCAAGCCGGCGATACTCAACGGCGTCCACTTCTCCGGCCCAGGATACGATCGAGGCTCGCGTCGAGGCTGGCCTGCACGCGCCTCTGCTCCTCCTCCCTTGCCCGCTCCTTGACGTCGTTCCGCCGTGCGTTCCCGCTGTCGCCGCGGTGGTAGCCCTGATTATCGTCCACCATCCCGCCGCCACCCCGACGTCTTTCGCCCCGCGCGGTCCGCCCAGGCCCGTCGTTTGCCGCGGGCATCGGCGGGTCCGGAGCGTACCTAGCCTGGTACCTGCGCAGCAGCTCCCTCTCGCGCCCCTTGTACTGCCGCAGCTCGGAGTCCACGAGGTGGAGACGGCTGCGCCCCGCGGCGGGTACGAGTAGGCGGCAGAACCAGAAACGATCAGGAAACGGATCAATGCGGGGTTGTTCTCATGAGAAACCATGACGAGGGCGTCTGACCATAGGCCTCTCTACTCTACAAGACACCCAGGACAGGGAAAGTTGGGTTTGCGGGGCCACGCAGCGCCAAAGGGGGGATGACTTTGTCACGGCTAGCATGCCTGCAGACCGGAAAGACCCCGCCTTGCGACTAAACTTGTGGCGGCGAGAGCGGTAGGAAATGGCGAAAGCGGATCAGCGGGCTAACAAGTGCAAGATAAACCACCATGGAATCGATTGGGGCCTCGGCTTTGGCACGAGCTCTTGGCCCTGCGGCAGGGTAGGAGGACCCAATCAAACCATGGCCCTTCCGATTCAGTGAAGCACTGATTGGAGATCGAGACGCATGAGCGATCAACGCCTGCCGGAAAACACACGAGCGCCCGTCAAGTTGGGATAGACGCGCCGTGGGTTTTGCCGTAACGGTCATGCTGGCGATGGGGAACGGACTGCCTGTGCCTAACACTGTTTTTTTTCGTTTTTTTTTCCTACACGTCAACAGCGGCGCGATCAGCTCAGCCCACCTGGGGTCGTTCTGGAAGAGAAGTTCGCGGATCTCCTCCTCGTACGGTTTCCGGGGAACCTGTTTCACAAAAAATTGGAAGTCGGGGTTGGGAACGGTCGAGAACAGCAGAGGCAACGGCCTCGGACCCTCTCCGGTTGTCTGGATCACACACGAACAAACGACGTTTCCTTCTGACCTGACCCTTGTCTCTTGCCGCTGAGTCGATCTGCCCAACGGCTTGTTGTGTCTTGGTGGGGCCTCGTTCCTCATGTCTGCAAGTTAGGCCCACTGCTGTTGTCTGGGTAAGTTGCGGCCAAAGCCTCGCCATATTGCACCTTGCGCCTTGTGACTATAGAGGCCAAAGGTCAGAATCGACTGCGTCGTCTGCCACGACACACGTTCCAACACTAAAGGGCATGATCCTTTTCCTCCAAGAGCATCATGCGTGTTGCACCACACCGCCCAAATATAACGGGGACTCCACTTCATATGAACGAAGAAATTCGGGTTCAGGGCCCTTGCGATAAATACGCGGGCCGTCGCCTCAAACGGAAGTCACGAGACGATAACAAGCCAAAACTCCTGCTGATAGCTTCCCTCCTGTGAGACCCCGGTCGGTGCGTCCAAAACACCAAACTGAACGGTGTCCAAATCGAAGTACAGAAGGCGGGTGACAACCCCCACCAACCCACTCACAATGTGTGTTATATATGCCCCCAAGCGACAGCGTCAAAACAGCGGGCAGTGCAGTAACAACTGCCGTCATCAGGAAGGGTAGTGTAAACGCTCGCACGCGGTCATCTGCTCTTCCACATGTTCCGTTTGTCTTGGATATACATTGGCCCCGAACGACAGGGGGAGGCAAGACTTCAGGTCTGCCCGTGTTTCCATCATAGCCGCAAGTCGGGCCACCATCTCGTACACAGAAACAGAGTAGTTAATTCGTCAGCGAATCTTGAACTAACTTGTGGGAGTCTGGATAAAGTACCACCCGGTTTGTCCCTCGTGCGGGGTACGCAGAGTTTGTCGATTCAGGTGTGTTCCCTGAGCAAGAACGTCCACCGCGCGTCTCAGTGATACTACTCGAAACAAGGCACATGCACGAGGGCGCGCGGCTTTGCACATGCCGGCGACAATCACCCCCTGTCCTCTTGTACGTGCCGCGGTACCGCTCAACAAGAATACCGGCGATTTTTCAGCAAAAAGCCAAATGCACAAAACCACATCGCAACACACACAGAAATAACACAGAACAGGACCGGATGTTTTGGGTTCCCAACATTTTATCGTGAGCTCACCGGATCGTCGTCTGGCTTGTTGCCGCTGAACGCGTTGGAGCAGAGGGCCTTGGAAACCAACAGCGAGACGGTCAGAACCGCGAACGGCTCCACACCAAAGCCTTTCCCCGCAGCAAGGAGGACCGCAGCGACTGGAACCGCCCCGCGCACCACCCCCACACAACAACAAGGCGAGAGGAGCAGGCGCGAAAGCAAAGCGTTGATTCAGGATATTCAGCCGCCGGAGTGCGATGAGCAAGAGCGGCGGAGAAGGGAGACACCCGGCCAACCAGCACCGACTGTGAGGCGCGTAGTTTGTTCCCTCTTCGGCTGTTGCTGCAGCGGGGGCAGTGTCGTCATCAATCGAGCTCCGGACGGTCCTAGCGGTGTACCACTGCTGGATTCCTCGAAGCGCAACGAAGAAGGGCTAATACATTCACGGACGGGATGAACAACACACAGCTACCTTCTCTACTGCTTTGCTCGAACGCCGTGCCAGCTGTGAGGTACTGCCGAACGCAATGGGACAAGACGCCCATAGCTACAGTGCCGAAATGCACAACTTGCCACCGAGTGGATTTGCTGGACTGGTCGGCGACAAAACAAAACCCTCCCCAAAAAACTCGGACGAGACGGTTTATGCTATGCACAGTCTTCGTTAAATACATACCGCTCGAAAAATAATACAGTTTCTGTCTTACCTACCCCACGCCTGGATGACGAGAGCACGGTGATCAACAGGCTGAAGGCGCTCCAGCAGTAGAACCCCTTTTCGCCGAACTTAATGTCCATTCCGCTGAAAACATTGCGGCAGGGTTGTCGGAGACACCGCGTGAGTGATTTCCTGTGATATAGATCTTGAACCGTGTTTTTTTATTTTTTGGTTGTCGGAGACACTGCGTGAGTGATTTCTTGTGATATAGATCTTGAACCGTTTATTTTTATTTTTTGGTTTGTCTTCACTTCAAAGCAGCGCTGACAGCAGTTGTGCTGTTTGCTTCAACCCATGGTCACCCAGAAGGGTCCTCTCCCTGAGGCCCCCTACCCACCCCTCCTGCCGTGCTACTATACTATGCCTTTGATTCTTCGTGCGAGAACGCGTGCAGCACTATCAGTACGGACAGATGAAGGTGCTGGGTAGAAAGATCGGAACGGTTTTAAATGTGAAGACAGCAATAACAACAGCAAATTTCTTCCCTCTGTGTACACACGAAAAATAAGCAGTAGCGCAATCCACCCAGGCCAGGAACGGAAGCGAGAGAGAAACCTGGCTTTGAAAAAAAAGCTACACTCGCGCCGGGATTCGAACCACTGACCCTGGCCACTAGACGGGACTTAGATGTACTGTACCACCTATGTAGACGGCATCAGATTATGAATTAAGCGAGCATGTTTTCGATTCAGGGAGGTTTCAACCTGCAGCGTAGGGAGGCAGGGGTTGCGAGGTCACCAACTATTCCACCCCCGTGAGAAGCGACCATAAAAAAGACTTCCGTACAAGAGGCCGAGAGATGGCACGATGGCACCCCCTACATAAAACAGGCCGATTTTCAGAGCTCGATGATTAATGATTCCACAACCAAGATCGTGCCAACACCCAACACCACAAGTGGTGGTTTTGGAAACATCTCGTCAAGGGCTTCTGTGTGCTTTAACAGGCTATTTCCGCGCCTCTTATGGTACAGTACCCCACCAAAACTACGCCGCTGTATTGTATGTACACATGATATGCATGCGTACATCGATACAAAAAATGGGAAAAGAGAGTCAGTGTGACGTGCAGGTGTCACCGCTGCTGCCGTTGGCGCGTTCCGAAAGGAGACACTTCTGCTGTAAGGAGCATGGATCACACGGGGAGAACAAATAATCGACAGGTCATCGTTGTGTACATCCGGTAGCGCCTCTGTCCTCGCAGCAGGCTAACAAACTGCCTCTTTGAGATCCGACTTTGCCGTTGATGGTGGAGGCGTAGAGCAATGATGGAGTTTACATCAACCGCCTCTCAAGCAAGGCAGACAAAAAATAATATGGCGACGCGTCCGAGTCACCTGTAGAGGCCGCATAGGCCCATCGAACCCATTAGAACTGCCGTCATCGTCCATAACGCGCCCATGGTCTACCAAAATGCGATATCAGCAGCTCCACGGCACAGCCAGCAGGAGTGACAGCGGCATGCGGCATCCGGCATCATCCGGCAGGGGTCGCACGGTTGGGTATCGTTTTTTGCTAGGTACTAGGTGTGTAAACCCCCGTCATTCCGCGGAGTCTCTGTGATGTCGTGCCTGTGATGGTGGCGTGTCACATCAGTCAGAGTAGCCGCATCGTGTTGGACATAGGCCATGAACCTCACCGATGAGCAGCGCCGGCGAATGGGAGAGAACCGCGCGAGGGCCAGGGCTCGTTTGCGCGAGAAAAGAGAAACGTGAGCGCGGGTGTCATCCTTTGTTCGATTCCATGTATTGTATGTGGGTATGTAATTTGAATTTGTGTCTGCGGAGTGTCTCCTCGCGTTTCGTGACAATGCAAAGCGCGTGCGTCCACAGGTGCGCGGCTGCTTTGTTGGAAGTAACCAGCAGAGGACACATCAAGTGTCAAGAAAAATTTACTCTCGTCTCGCCAGAGGCTGCACTACTGCTGCACTACTGCTGCGCTTAGATAAAACTGCAGGTTCGGCTCTAGAGGCTCAAAATCGCTGTCAATATTGCGTCAAGTCGCGCGCGCTTGTTGGGCGGTACATACGGCAAAGTAGCATAGTCTTTCTAGTCTACAGGTTAATAAAATGTTGCTCCACTTTTGGTCAACAGAGTATCCACCATGCTGGGGTGCGTTTCAGATTCTGTCCAACCCATGAAGATACGCCACTTTTCTTAAAAACTCAACCGCGAAAAGTATCTTGTGGGTCCACCGCTGCGTACAGACTACACCTTGCAATACTGCTGTGGATACGAAGACTTTACCGCATACTGGTAGTATGTTCCCGAAATAAACAGGTGCCCCTTGTTGTCACGTCCAACAAACTGCCCTGACCGCGTTCTTTCCACTCTGTTCGCCCAACAGGCAAATCCCTGCAGCCTCGGCGATTGGCGTAGGCGAAACCCGCGCGTCTCCACCACCGTGTACTAGCGGCCCAGAACGGCCAAAACAGGACGGCGGCGAAAGAGCTGGCGGTGCTAGTAGAGCCGGTGGTGCAGATGCCCAACTCGAAGAAGATCAACAAGGGCCAGCCCGACCGTCGACTCAACAACAACCAACAACCATAGCAGCGGCAGCAGCAGCAGCACCTGCATCGGCAGCAACAGCATCAGCAGCAGTGACTCCGTTAGCGAGTGGATCCACCAGATGTGGAGGAGGGGGTGCGCGAGGGACTCGCGCAGGCGGCGGGGGTGGGGATAAAGGTAGAGCGGTCGGTAATAAAAGTAGTAGCGGTGGTGGTGGAGCAGGGGCGGTAGCGGTCGCGTGTGAGGGGTGTGGAGGCGAGCAGGACGACGCGCGGATGGACAAGGAGCTGCTGGAAGCGTTCGGGATTTCTGTGTGCCGCACTTGCAAGGTTGGTCATAACCCGACCGTATCTACACATAGCGAGCTGTTTTGGGTGTGTTGTCAATGGGAGGAGACGAGAAACACCGGGAAAAATCGAGAATACTCTTGGTCTTTGGAGGGGAGGGATTTTCTCATGCTTGCATTTCCCCTTGGTTCACGGCTTGGAGGAAACAACCTTCATGATTCGGTACCAGTCTCTTCTCGCTCGCCACGATGATCCCCCGATTCCTCGTCCGGTGACTTAATGCGGTTTCTGGACTTCGCGCGTGTATCTGCTGCTGTGCTGTACCTCTGCTGCTACCACAGATGTCGCGAGAAGAGTTCCAGTACGTTTCCACCAAGGACGTGAAGGACACGTATCTCCTGCCTCAGGGCACCATTGCAGTCCTCAAGTTTGTCGAGCGGGACAACCCGCACCACTCTAGCTGGACAAAGGTACGCTATTTATTCAGCTGATTTTTTTCTTACGAATGCAAGAAATACTTCGTATGCATAGCAATCTATTCCGGCCAGTGTCACCGAACGTTCCCTGTTTGGACTTTTACAAAAGACAGAAACTTCCCTTTGGGTCCATTTTCTCCGGGGGTGGGCAGACCTTGAGGTCAGCTGCATGTCGTTTTTTCTACAACCCTCCATGTACGAGGTTTTGTTGCCGTTGCGTGAGATGCTTATTTTCCATGGGAAACAACTTGTGGAACGAGTGTCTAGCGTTCCACCTGTTTGATGCCCACTGTTTCTTATCGACGTGTTGAGTCATAGATCATGTCGGTTTTCTTTGCTCTGCTTTGTCGATGCCATGTATCGCTTCGTTGGATGGACGTGTTGCAGCAATCGAGCATTTTGAGCTGCAAGACGAAACACTCATTGTGCCTTTCGAGGTTTTAGTACTCTCCGCCGAAACAATGAAAGCACCCGCAGCGCGGCTACCTCTCTCTGGCGCTGTCGCTGTTTCTCTATGAGTCTGCGTGAATGGTCGGAATTCTTTGTGCTTGCGGCCTCTGTCGGCTTTTTTTTCATTTTTCGTCGTCGCAATAGCCGCGCGAGTTTTTCTAGTTCTTGGTAGGCCAACTTTAATCACGCTCCTTGCGGTAGCGTTGATAACTCGTACAAATGCAATTCCTTTCTAAACACGTGACACTTTGTGCTTCTCTTCTCCCTCTCATGCATCCTCTCACCCTAACCCACTGGCTCGCTTGCCGTTCTCTCCTCGCTCCTTTCAGATGAAGCTTTACCTCCGTAGAGAGGTCGTGGCGTACAGTTATAAGCGTTGGGGTAGTGAGGACGGCCTCGCTGCGGAGAGGAGAAGACGAGAGTCTCTCAAGTACGACCGATCCCTTGCGCGGACCAAGGTTTGTACCACAGGCTTTCGTTCGGCACCGCAGGTTGTGTTTTCGAAAATTGAGTGTGGCGTGCTAGTCACCACGAGGTAGCTACCTCGTGTTGGTGGTTAGTTGCTGGTGGGTACTATCGCACGGACGGGTTCTCGAGAGATGTCTTTTGAGGTGGACGCACAAATATTGCCGGGGTGGTTCTGCAATGTATGGTGGAGGAGACGGATCCGGTTTTGTGGGGCAGCAGTCGTCGCGCACACCATAACGCCGTATGGGGCCTCTTTTGCTACTTGCGGGACATCTCCTGGAGGCTCGACTATTGTACACGACCGTGATGCCCGTTGCCCACTGACTCCTATATGTCACCGTTGGCCCCCCGCCCCCTCCCCGTGCAACTATTCTCCCCGTGCCTCTCCGACCCGAAGGGCATATTCAAACGTTCCAGACCCGAAACAGAGGACGATGGCGTCACAGGCGGCTTCCTATGACGCCTTGTACGAGATTAGAAGTCCGGAAGCTGCTCCTTTGTCGACCCACGAATATTCGACGGCGGTCTCCTGCGTGTTTTGGTTCGCCGGGTACTGCCGCTTTTATCGAAACAACCACGGGTCTGTTTGATTTGCAGGACATGTGGCTTCCATGCGCAAGATGTGCGTGTGCGTTTGGGGGTCTGTACTCCACGCCCCACACGTTGGCCCTTTGTATATTTATATTCCTTGCTATGCCGTTTCTGTAGTGTGAAGGGAAGAGTGGACGTTTTTTGTCCCATGGGCGAATGAACTCACTGTAGGTACTTACGCACCTGACGGGTCTGCCCCAGGCGTTCGCAACGACAGCATTTGTTGCTTCATGTATGAATAGGTTTGGGCTGGTGTTGCGAGTTGTTGACGCAATTATTTCATTGAGAATCCCTTACCCCGATGTGAAAATAGCCATTTTCATAAAGTGGCGAGTTCGGGGCCAGAAGAACGATCGAAAGGGACAATGCGCTTTGGTATCCGGGACTCCGACTTTCTTATGTCGCGCGGCCGGCACTGCACCGAATGCTGCCCGGCAAACCCTGCCATATCTAGGGGCGTGGTGCGGGGATCCCAAATGCAGCAGCCTCCGAAGCCGGGACTTTTGATTCGTCGGAGCACAAGTGTCTACCACACCCAGCTTATCCCGGGCAGTCGAAATGGAAGAAGGATGGCAACCTGCGTGCGTCCCCCTGTTACGCCCGCTGCACCGACGCTGTGAGGTCCACGGTTAACGGCCCCACAACAATCTGCAGCTGGTTGTGTCCCCCAAAAGTCAGCTTCTTGTGCGGGACCGGAAGGCGCCCGTCGCGCTCACGGGGGGCGTACGGTACCGGCAGTGTCGGCCGTGTCAGCTCCTGCGCTCCGCCTCCCACCGGCGAACGCCCGCAGTGCCTTCTCTAACAGCTCCCTGGGTGGGCCGCCGCAGTTCCCGACCCGGGCTGTGTCAAATACGCGGTTCGGCTGCTTCTGGCGCGAATGCTGCGACGCAGCCGGTTGTTCTCCCGTTGGCGGTGGGCCGTATCCGAGGCGGCTCGGCTCCCGACGGCTAGGTGGTGAAAACGGCGAGGGGATGTGACTCCCCTCTCTCACGCGCTCTGGATCTGACGTCCATGGGAAGGCACGTCCAACAAGAAAATGCAGTCAAACCAGCGAGAAGACCTTTCGATCGAGACGTAGCATAGCCCATGGAAGGATTTGAGGGAAAACCTTTTGGTGTGTTGAAATCATGAGGAGTGTTGGAACACCAGCACTGGACCATTTTGGCAGCGATCCACACCTCTGGAGCAGCACCCTGGAAGATACATTATTGGGTGACAAGGGCGACTACTGAAATGTGCGACCCCTTCTTCGACGCATGCGGCTGTCAGGAAGACGAGCGAGCAAACCGCGTGAAGTTACCCTTCAGAAATGCTCAATTTCCATTGAAACGCATCAAGAGGCGGGTTGGCATTTATTCTCTCTTGTTGTGCTCTTGGTATACCTCCAAGGTAATTCTACTCTGGCCGGTTCAGGCTGTGAGGAAACTCACGCATGGTATCATTTTTGCATTTGGGAAGACGGCTCAACAGAGGTAGTACTTTGCTATCGACTCCGCTCTCCAACCTCCCATCTGCACGACCTCCTCAATGGCGGAGCGACAACATCACAACATCACAACATCACTCGCCTCGACTTTCGACTGGCCCGAAAATTGCGGCGGAATTGCAGGGACAGTTTCGCCGCATTTCTCACGCGTAGCCGCTTGGACAGCGATCGCTGTAGCTTCTCTCGTTCCTCTGCTGCCAATTGGCATGGCCTTCCTGTTAGATGGGTGGTTCAAGACAGACGAGGATGACATCAACGATCTGCCGCCAGATCTCAGGGACACTTACGTCAACCCCTGGAAGGTAGGCACCAGACTCTTGTTTGGTGAGTGCCATGTAGACCGTCGGCAGTTGTTCCGCCAGGGATCGTTTGAATGCGTGCTGGAACTTTCCAGCCGCGCGTTTCTCGTCTGCAACCGGATGAAGCCTTTCACGTAGCAAGGCTGCTTGCCCATAATGAGTAACACCGATGGTTACGGCTACGGTGCTTTAGAAGTCCGAGGGGTCAATCGACTTTGTGCCCTCGGTTGTCAATGTGAGGGATATTCAGTGTGATTCAACCACAGTGCAGTATTTTTTTTTTTACTTGAAGGATGTCTTGTAGTCGCTGATTCTCCGCGTAGAGCGAAAGCCAGTAGCCCTTCCCATACTAGGATGTCCTTGGTTCGAGAAAAATAGAGTGGGCTGCACTGTCCAACCATCACCATGGCACTACAGCGAAACCAGATGGTACACGATACCTGCACCCCGGACACCTACATGACACTTGAGATGTGAAGCTGTGCCCTTGCTTGTACAGTATATCATTCATGAACGCACAGACCGTTCAGACCTCAAAACGGATACTTCACAGGAGTTCTTGTCCCCCAAATCATTGTTAATTGACGGGTGGATGTGTGCTGTTCTCGAAAATGCTGAAAGTTAACTTAGTCTGACGGTGTCGCGGTTGTGCCCGTGTGATGAGCGATGTTTTCGTATTGTCACCACATCCGCCTTATCCGACATTAAAACAAATTGAAGTTCCGAGCTGCAGCACTGGATGGAAGCAATTCCATACCTAATTCCGACCTCGGCGAAGCTGCCTATGGCCGGAACGCACCATCACCCAGTCCTTTGAAACGAGGAAGTTCCCAACGGCATTCCATTCGGACCACTGACGTTCATATATCCTCACTGGCAATGATATTCAATGGGTCATACTAATAGTGAATCGCAACTGCTATCCGGTGGCTGCCATACTTCCATGTGCAATCCCTTCCTTCTTGTTGAGGTCTTCCATACTGCACCACATCGACACCTCTGGCGAGGTACAATCCCCAGCGCGAAATTCTTCAAAACAATGCCCAATCTTCACGTTATATGCAAACGACCGTGTGTGCCTCTGTCGCCTTCCCCTTCGCAATTGTTTTGTCGCTCTCTTAAGATCTTTGGGCTTTCCAACGAATCAACACCATGGGACTTGAGGGACGCTTTTCGACAGGTGCGGACACGGGGGGGGGGGGGGGGGC